AGAAAGAAAGAAAGAAAGAAAGAAAGAAAGAAAGAAAGAAAGAAAGAGAAAGAAAAAGAAAGAAAGAAAGAAAAAGAAAGAAGAAAGAAAGAAAGAAAGAAAGAAAGAAGAAAGAAAGAAAGAAAGAAAGAAAGAAAGAAAGAAGAAAAGAAAGAAAGAAAGAAAGAAAGAAGAAAGAAAGAAGAAAGAAGAAAGAAAGAAAGAAAGAAGAAAGAAAGAAAGAAAGGAGAAAGAAAGAAGAAAGAAAGAAAGAAAGAAAGAAAGAAAGAAAGAAAGAAAGAAAGAAAGAAAGAAAGAAAGAAAGAAAGAAAGAAAGAAAGAAAGAAAAGAATTCTTTATTGGCCAAGTGTGATTGGACATACAAGGAATTGGTCTTGGTGCAAATGCTCTCAGTGTCCATAGGAGAAAAGAGACATTCATCAAGAGTCAAGAATCATCAGGTACAACATTTAATGGTAGTCATAGGATGCAATAAGCAATCCAATCATACCAGGAAACAGTCAGTATAAATCGTAAGGATACAAGCAGCAAAGTTACAGTCATGCAATTACAAGTGGGAGGGGATGGGTGATAGGAGTGATTAGAAGATTAGTAGTAATAGTATTACAGTTTTATTAAGTAGTTTGACTGTTGAGGGAATTATTTGTTTAGCAGAGTGATGGCATTTGGGAAAAAACAGTCCTTGTGTCTAGTTGTTCTGGTGTGAAGTGCTCCATAGCGTCATTTTGAGGGTAGGAATTGAAGCAATTTATGTCCAGGATGTGAGGGGTCTGTAGATATTTTCCCAGCCCTCTTTTTGACTCCTGCAGTATACAAGTCCCAGATTGGTAGTAATGTTTTTTTTCTAACGTGGGCAAATAGAGATGCAAAGTTTTTTTTTCCTTTCATTCCCGGTTGGCCAAGGAAACGCACACTGAGTAACGGGGAAGGGAGCTTGCCTCGGCTTTGCATTCCCTAGAGTCCCATCTGCAAGGGATGGCTGAGTGACTTTACAGAGAATATCCTGCTTGCATAACCCCGACCAATATTCAGTGCATAGCAGCATCTGATCTGTCGCTGGTCTGCGGGAACCACTGGCCTCAAAAGCTGACAGATCCTGGGGAGCCATTAGCGAACAACACCCTTGAATACCCCGAGGTGTCATTTACCTCTTTGATGGTCTGTTTGCCACTACAGAAAGGGAAGTAAACATCTGGCGTCTCCAGGGATGGGTGGGTGGGATAGATTTTCGTTTGCTACTCATTTCAAACAGGGCTCGGCTTTGAGCAGGGGACAGCCACTGGTTTGCAGGCATCGCCATCGATTCCAGAGAGGTCGTTTGGAGAACAAAGTTACAATCCAGGATTGATTTAGTATTTTAATGGCCCCCCCTTTAATTAAGCTGGTTTGAACGGCCACTGGGGCTCCCACTCTTCGATCAATTGAAACGCAATTGGGAGCCAGAGAAAGCAAAGGATGTCATCA